CTATGCCCCCTTGGAGCTAGTTCAATCGAAGTTTTTAAGAGCAGTGCTTCAAGTTCCTAGATGCGTATCTAATGCAATGGTAAGGCTAGAGACGGGCATGCTGAAGGTCGAAGCCATGATTGCCTTATACTCCATCTTCTATTGGTTGAAGATAAATTTAAATCCGTGTGGACTAGTGCCTCTGATTCTGACTGATCCCTTTGAATCTGAATGGCTGGTCGCTGTTAAGCGAAAAATTTCACTCTTGGGGTATTCTCCTCAAGCGCTTTTGAAAATGGGTGGTGACCGAGCTAAGTTAGAAATTAAGCAGAGGATCAAGGACACCGAACGCCAACTAGATCTACAGGTGTCTCCAACTTTTATAGCGCCAACTAGTAATAAATACATTGTTGCACAGGCCCCATATTTAGCTGTTCTGGAGTCCCGTAAACTCAGAAGGGCTTACACTTTGGCTAGATGCTCTGCCTTACCTTCTGCAGTTCTTGAGGGCAAATTTAAAAAATTACCCCGAACAGAGAGGTTATGTATGTGCGCGTTGGGGGAGATCGAATCTCAGGAGCATGTATTCTTAAGGTGCCCATTATTTGAAGAGGCACGCACAAAACTCATTGAGCCTTTTTTGGCAGGCACGTCTGATCAGGATAAGATGGAAAACTTGTTTTTTAACCTTGAACATACAGCGCTCCATCAGATTGCAAAATTTTGCTCCTTGGTTATAAAAGCTCATCAGTGCCCTGGTTGTCACTTCGGTTAGGACTGTTTGATTTTAACTTTTACTCTTTCCAAGTCATCTTAGTTCCTTTCCTTTTATCGTGTTTTATTGTAATCTTAAGTCTGGTTTTAGCGACCAAAATGATTGTATAATGTTATTTTTTAGTACCTTGTTGCACTTTGGAAATTTTACTATTAGGCCATTGTAGTTTATTTGTATTTCTATGGTTTTATTTTGCTGGCTGGGTGCCGTAACAATAAAATTCATTCATTCATATGGTAAACAGGTAATCACCTAGATGTGAGATCACTTCTGGTTTTCTCTGGAAGAGACATCATATGTCACACACAACACTGGTTTCCCTTTTGTCCCTGCCCCCTATCTTCTGCCTCCTGGATACCAACTATGTTGTTTGTTGCTGTTCGGTCGCACAGTCGAGTCCAACTCTTCACGACCCCATGGACCACATCACGCCAGGCCCTCCTGTCTTCCACCATCCTCCGGAGTTTGCTTAATTTCATGATACCAACTCTAAAACACTGCAAAACAGTACATCCCAGTCCCAACCCCAAAACTGAGTCGAGAAAGATATCATGATCAATGATACTGAGAGCTACTGAGAGCCGGTCCAGGAGAATCAGTAGAGTTGCATTCCCTCTGTCTATCTCCCAGTGCAGGGCAACTAAGGCTGTTTCAGTCCCATAAAGGTAAAGGTAAAGGTTCCCTTGCTCGAAAGCCAGTCGAGTCCGACTTTAGGGTTGCGGTGCTCATCTCCGTTTCAAAGCCGAAGAGCCAGCACTGTCCGAAGACGTTTCCGTGGCCGGCATGACTAAACACCAAGGTGCACGGAACGCTGTTACCTTCCCACTGAAGTGGT